CTCTCTTTCCACTCTCCTCTTTTCTGTTACTCTCTTTCTGCTCTCTCTTTCCACTCTCCTTCCTGCTGTTCCCCTGGGCAAATAGGACTTTTCCTGTCTCCCTCTTATGTCCTCTCTCTGTCTGTCTGTCTCTTTACCCTTCCCCCCACCTTCCCTTTCTAATAAAACTTCTCACTAAGCTCTGTCTGCTTGGCATGTTTGTATCCGTCCCCCGCCCCCTCAGTCACCTTAGAATACCATGGAACCCTCAAAGATTCCCCACGAATATTATCATGACAGCAGCACCAACAGGAAGTCTTCGGGGTGTTGCTTCCACAGGCTCCCTGCCTCACAGGGACACAGAGCAGTCTTGGCAAGGGTGTGGGAGGCCAAAGGAAACTCTGCAAGGCTCTCCCCAGAGGCCTGCAGCTGGCAGCTATAGCATTCATGTTTCCTTCCTGGGAAGGTTCAAATCACTTCTTTGACTAGTAGGCATGTTTTGTTTCTGGTATGTGAAACAGGACTCCCTAGAAGAGGGACTTTCTCTTGAAAACAGTGGTAGATACCCATTTACAATACTTTCTATGTAAAACAAAATTCTTGAATGTTTCTCTTATTTTTCAGATTATAATTACATCATTTTCCCCTTCCCATTGCTCCCTCCAAAAACTCCCACAATGTTCCTCCTTGCTGTCTATCAAATTCATGGCCTCTTTTTTTCTTTAATTATTATATGCATATGTGTGTGTATAGTTATATATTCCTAAATGCATCCTGCTCAATCTGCATAATGTTATTTATGTTATGATAAAGCTCTTGGTGAACCTTGGATGATACCATGGCAGGCGAGGTAGAGGGACAAACATGCCAGGCAGACAAGGCTTAAGTGAGAAGTTTCATTAGAAAGGGGAGGGGGGAGACGAGGTAAAGAGACACAGAGACAGAGAGAGGACAGGCAAGAAGAGGGAGACAGGAAAAGTGCTGTCTGCCCCAGGCAAAGAATAGGGAAAGAGAGCAAAGTGGGTGGGGTCCTTTGCACCTGTATCCAGACTATGCAACCATGGAACCCTGGGCTACCCAGGATACTGCCTGAGTGCGTTCTGCCAGGAGACAGGGCCAGCCAGAATAATGCCTGAATCCTTAGAATTTGTATGTGTTTCCAGGGCTTATCTTCGGTATTGGATAACCAACTGGTGCGCACTTCCCTGGGGAAGACTATTTCTCCCACTCTCAGCCTTTCTTGAGTGCCTATAGTTCTTTGTGCAGGGTTGGGGCCTTGTGAAATTTTGCTGTTCATGCTGGCATGTCTGTGATCCTTGTTCAGCTCATGTTTAGGCAGTTGTGTTGGTGAGACTTTCTGGGTGTGGCTTCTGACATTTACTAGGAGACACAGACTCCCCCATCCTCTGGCTCTTACAAAATGGGGGGTGGGGGTGGGGCTCATGTAGTCCAGGCTGGCCTTGAACTCACTATGTAGCCAAGGCTGGGTTTGAACTCTTCATCCTCCTTCCTCCACTTCCCAAATGCTTCGATTACAAGTATTAGTAACCGTGCCCTGTTTCCATGGAAATCTTTATCAGTAGATTAGAAGTTTTGATGAAAGAAGCTGGCAGAAATAA